AATATATAATCTAAGTAATAATTTTTCCCAAATCAGAGTGTGTGAGAGTGAGTGAGGTGTGCCAGAACTGCAAATTGAAAACTGAAATTGTTGTAAACACACTAATTGAAAGGGTTAATCAACTTCTCTTTAACTCCTTCTTTACTCGAATCTCCGGTCACCACATCAATTGATGGGAGCTTCTTGTTTATCAATAAAGACAGACACGAAAGAGTGCTTAACAAGTTCTCAATGAGTATATTTTCAGGGCTAGCATTTACACACAGTTTGTCACGCAAGTAACGATATTTATCGCTTCCTTATAGTTAATAGTACATACTTGTGTGGCAGTAGAAGATAAGCATTTGAATAAAGACAGAACAGGAACATCCTGAGGTCGAGCGAGGTCGCACATCCTCTAGAAGGAAGACCTTGGTACAAAATACATCTGCCAAAGTCGGAATAATTATTTCAAACATTATTTTAAAGCATATAAAGCAAAAAGAGTTTAACTATTTCATATCCCTACAGTCAGCACTAATGATTATAAACCTTATCTAAGCATAAAATACATATGAACAAGAAAAGTTAACTACTTCATATCCTTTCACTAATGTGACGTATCAAAGATACGTTTGCTGAGCAACTGTTCGATCACCCAAGGAGTAATTTCAAAAATGTATAAAGTGAATCAGAACGTGTTGAAATTAGGTAAAGACTGCATAATATAGAAAAGATAAAAACAAGCATAAGTGGAAAAATGAGATCACTTAAGGTAAGTATATATTCAGAGTGAACACGACAGATAAACTAAGCGCATACTGTAGAATATAGCATATTCTATGTTTTTATTGATTATGTATGGATGTCTGGATTGACAGAAGTGACAGATGAAATCAATAAGTCACAAGGCTTTCTTTGCCTGAGAACTCTGGAATGTGGATTGGGGTCTTGTCCTTATATGGCTCTGATGTCATTATGGTCATATCTATATAGAATAGTGGACAAAAGACCACAAAGTCTTGCTGTGGCTGCTTGCTGCACGGGGTTGTTCTTCTCGTCCGGCTGTCTAACTATGTAGAGACTAACTCTTCTTCAGGAGTCCATCGATTACCATCTGCTGTTGAACATCCATTATCCTGTAACATCCCGTGTTTTTTATTATGTATCTGTAACTCTAAAAATAAACCTGAAGAAACCATAAGTCAGATTGCGTATTAGTATTATTGGTTAATATAGACGTATATTAACATTGCGAGTCTTTTACCCAAGAAGAAATATACATAAAATAATTATTTCAATCACTTGGAAAAACACAGAAGAAATGAAATTTATTACACATACAAAAATGAGAAAGAAGCTATCAGATAGAATAATAAGCCACCTCTACGATGATGGCCAAGAATAAGGAAGCTAACAAAACACATATGCGAACATATAGGGAAAAAGAGATACATTCTGTGCAGGAAGAGAAAACTATCTTAAAAGAATGTGTAAAATGTGAAAATCACAAACAAAACAAAACAATTAAATATATACAGTGTGTGCATATGTGTAAATGTTAGTGCCTACAGCAAAATAAGTGAAAAGCATGATGGGAAGGGTAAATAATAATATCATCAATAGGGGCTAATAGCTACCATAAGTATGTGAACATGAAAACAGAGTATAAACCAACATAAATCTCTTATAGCGTCCTAATATAAACATGTTCACACATAGAAACGACTGTGAAGAAATCCATTCACTTAAAGACCGTGATCTGGCATATAATGATAACCCAAGATAAATGGGCATCATACACTAGAAGAGGAAAATGGATTTTAGTATAGTAATCACTTGAGCACGGAATCAATACATTGCTGTAAAGACCACCAGTCGACCAGTTTTGATACTTACGTCATCCGTCAGTTTTATAATTACGTCATATATTGAATATTATGCACCTTTAAAAATTGCATTGTGTGACTATGTCCATTAGATGGCTGTTTTAACCCCGTTTTGCACCCCCCCTTCCTTTCTTAAAGATTAGTCTTATCCACGTGTAATCCACAGGACAATTAATCAGTTATTCTACAAATTAAGTAGGACAGGTGATATAAAGTCTAATATTTCATTTTTTTTGTTTGCCTGAGTGGGGACGAGTGAACGTTTTTTCTGATGACATATGACTACATGTCACACGTCTAACACATTAATGGCATCTTTTCTTGTGTGTGGTCATTTTAGAAAACATTTAGATATAGATATATATGCAATGATATATATATATATATATATATATATATATATATATATATTTATTTATTTATTTTTTCTGTATAATACTTTAAAAAAACATATATTTCTGCCACCTTATAATGGCTACCAACACAGAGGCCAGGGCAGTAGTGTCATCCTTACAAGAATGCCAGACAGTGGCAAAACTACGAACGCTTTGGGGGCGCATTGGGTGGTATTATTGCTGGACAGGGGCCCAGTCTGGCAAAAACAGCCCTTTGGGAGCGCAAACGGGCCCCCGTAGAAATGGCAGACTGGGAGGAAGTGACAGCTGATCTCTCAGAATAAATAGAGAGCGCCATGCGGGAGAGAGGAGGCCGCAGAGGGGAGAGGAGTAAGACGAGAGAGCTGCTCCAGACATCACACTCCCATCGCACCCTGAAATAGTGTAGAACAGAGACACTATGGAGATACTTTGTGGGGACTTTGCAATGGTGTCCCTAGTGGTGGGAATGGAGACTAACAGTGCTGAGTTTGGTCCCCTCTCCTGCTATCCTACTAGGTTAGAGACAGGTGAAAGGTCTGTTTTGTTAAACCATTAGTTCCAGGGAATAGGGCAGCTGCATAGAACTGTATATGGCATTGAGAGGGTTAACTGGTATAGATGGAGCTGTGGAATTTTTCATATCACAAGTACACAGCACACATCCTTCATGGGAGTCGTTAATTCCCTGTTTACAATGTGGATATATACTCAGTTATTACAACGACGAGGCTGGTGAAAGCAAGCGCCAGAATTCAGTGTTAGAGAGACGGTATAAGAGGGGCTCAACAGAAATCCCTCCACTGGCTGCAATTTAATATGCAAATATCAACTAGTAAAATATAGGCCGCTACCTAGGGCAGGGCCAGCAAACATGGCGTAACCCGGGGCAGAGTTACCACATAGGGCTTTACTCAGGGCAGGGCAAGCAAACATGGCGTAACCCGGGGCAGAGTTACCACATAGGACATTACCCAGGGCAGGGCCAGCAAACATGGCGTAACCCGGGGCAAAGTTACCACATAGGGCATTACTCAGGGCAGGGCCAGCAAACATGGCGTAACCCGGGGCAAAGTTACCACATAGGGCATTACTCAGGGCAGGGCCAGCAAACATGGCGTAACCCGGGGCAAAGTTACCACATAGGGCATTACTCAGGGCAGGGCCAGCAAACATGGCGTAACCCGGGGCAAAGTTACCACAAAGGGCATTACTCAGGGCAGGGCCAGCAAACATGGTGCAACCCGGGGCAGAGTTACCACATAGGGCTTTACTCAGGGCAGGGCCAGCAAATATGCCGTAACCCGGGGCAAAGTTACCACATAGGGCATTACTCAGGGCAGGGCCAGCAAACATGGCGTAACCCGGGGCAGAGTTACCACATGGGGCTTTACTCAGGCTAGGGCCAGCAAACATGGCGTAACCAGGGGCAGAGTTACCACATAGGGCTTTACTCAGGGCAGGGCCAGCAAACATGGCGTAACCCGGGGCAGAGTTACCACATAGGGCGTTACTCAGGGCACAGTTACCACATAGGGCATTACCCAGGGCAGAGTCACCCCACAGGGCGTTACCCAAGGCAGAGTCTCCACATAGGGCATTACCCAGGGCAGAGTTACCACATAGGGCATTACTCAGGGCAGGGCCAGCAAACATGGCGTAACCCGGGGCAGAGTCACCACGTAAGAAATTACCCAGGGCAGAGTCACTATGAGCCAGTGAATAGGCCGCTACCCATCCAAGCAGAGTACCCCACACAAAACACACTTGAAAGTGATCAATGGGGCATGAAGGCTTTATTCAACACTTTGTCAAACAAGACATGTTATGTTCTATGTACCTTACACACAGACTCAACTTCCGGCAGAGGTGGTAGAGGTTAATACATAAGATACACTGAAAGTGTGGTGAGTACAGGGAATCACCTTCCAGCAGAGTTGGTAGAGGTTAATACAGTCATTGGATTTTACCATTTGTGGTACAGATCTTTACTGGAAGTAAGTCGAAGGAGAAGATACAATTCAGGTTTATAGCAGTTTGAATGAGAGATGGCACAGAATAGCCAGGCCATGGGTTCTTCTCTGAGTTTCAGTGGTATATACTCAATATTATTTCATAAAGTGTGAAATGATGGAAATTTAAAGCGAGTTTCAGATTTTAGCCCAATTGAAAAAATATTTCCAAGTCACCTAGATTTTTGCCTGTTTTTGGCCTAAAATGGGAAATTCACTTTGAGATCCTGAGGGTGTGCTAGCAACCCTGGATGGGGTTTGACTAAATTTCTATTTACAGGCATTTCGCTGGCTATTAACCCAACGTTTGTGGAGGTCCATGTTGTAGGGACAATACTTTAAGATCAGCGACGCCGCATGGACGCTAATAGTGATCCTGATGTTGGGACGCGATATGAATATGATGGCGGAGTTTTCATTTAAAAGAGAAATTACATTAAATAACAGTTTTTCTGTAAAAGTATCGAGTTTATCTCTCCTCCAAAAGAAGCCGTAATGAGAAACGCTGGCGTGGAATAATACATCCTCTCGACTCGTTTGTAAAGATGGATGGAAAGAGGTGCATTATCACCCGTGACAAAAATAAAGCGTTTGTTCTTTCCATTCTCCGGATGGTGAAGCTCACTCATTAGTCATTTGTCAGATGACATCAGGAGACACTCGTCAGATACCTGTCTAATGAAGTTTATCAGAAAACATGCAGCAGGACTGAGACTGCGACTAATGCAGTGCAGACTGTCTGTACCATGAGACTGCCAACGAAACTAGCACTCTCTGTCTGTACCATGAGACTGCCAACGAAACTAGCACTCTCTGTCTGTACCATGAGACTGCCAACGAAACTAGCACACTCTGTCTGTACCATGAGACTGCCAACGAAACTAGCACTCTCTGTCTGTACCATGAGACTCCCAACTAAACTAGCACTCTCTGTCTGTACCATGAGACTGCCAACGAAACTAGCACTCTCTGTCTGCACCATGAGACTGCCAACGAAACTAGCACTCTCTGTCTGTACCATGAGACTCCCAACTAAACTAGCACTCTCTGTCTGTACCATGAGACTGCCAACGAAACTAGCACTCTCTGGCTGCACCATGAGACTGCCAACTAAACTAGCACTCTCTGTCTGCACCATGAGACTGCCAACTAAACTAGCACTCTCTGGCTGCACCATGAGACTGCCAACGAAACTAGCACTGTCTGTCTGTACTATGAGACTGCCAACTAAACTAGCAATGTCTGTCTGTACCATGAGACTGCCAACTAAACTAGGACTCTCTGTCTGTACCATGAGACTGCCTACTAAACTAGCACTCTAGCACTCATCCCCCTTTTTTTGCTTAAACTAGCACTCTGTCTGTACCATGAGACTGCCAACTAGCACTGTCTGTCTGTCTGTACCATGAGACTCGCAGCTAAACTAGCACTGTCTGTCTGTCTAACTGTACTATGAGACTCCCATGTAAACTAGCACTGTCTTTCTATCTGTCTGTACAATGCAGTAATGTAGCCTGTAAAGCGTTGAGCGCTAAATAAATAAAATACACATACACTGTATACCTAATACATTTACTGTACCTCCCTCTACTGTATGGTAACCTGTAAAGTGCAGAGTACACCTGTTAGCGCTATATAGATACAATATACATACACTGTATACCTACTGCACTTACTGTACCTCCCTCTACTTTAATGTAACTTGTAAAGTGCTGCGTACACCTGTTAGCGCTATTTAAATAAAATATACATACACTGTATACCTAGTGCACTTACTGTACCTCCCTCTACTGTAATGTAACCTGTAAAGTGCTGAGTAGACCTGTTAGTGTTATATAAATAAAATATACATACACTGTATACCTACTGCACTTACTGTACCTCCCTCTACTGTAATGTAACCTGTAAAGTGCTGAGTACACCTGTTAGCGCTATATAAATATAATATACATACACTGTATACCTACTGCACTTACTGTACCTCCCTCTATGGTAATGTAACCTCTAAAGTGCTGAGTACACCTGTTAGTTCTATATAAATAAAATATACATACACTGTATACCTACTGCACTCACTGTACCTCCCTCTACTGTAATGTAACCTGTAAAGTGCTGAGTACACCTGTTAGCGCTATATAAATAAAATATACATACACTGTATACCTACTGCACTTACTGTACCTCCCACTACTGTAATGTAACCTGTAAAGTGCTGAGTACACCTGTTAGCACTATATAAATAAAATATACATACACTGTATACTTACTGTACTTCCGTCTACTGTAATGTAACCTGTAAAGTGCTGAGTACACCTGTTAGCGCTATATAAATATAATATACATACACTGTATACCTACTGCACTTACTGTACCTCCCTCTACTGTAATGTAACCTGTAAAATACTGAGTGCACCTGTTAGCACTATATATATATACATACACTGTATACCTTCTGCACTTACTGTACCTTCCTCTACTGTAATGTAACCTGTAAAATACTGAGTGCACCTGTTATTACTATATATATATATATATACATACACCGTATACCTTCTGCACTTACTGTATCTCCCTCTACTGTAATGTAACCTGTAAAGTACTGAGTACACCTGTTAGTGTTATATAAATAAAATATACATACACTGTATACCTACTGCACTTACTGTACCTCCCTATACTGTAATGTAACCTGTAAAGTGCTGAGTACACCTGTTAGCGCTATATAAATAAAATATACATACACTGTATACCTACCGCACTTACTGTACCTCCCTCTACTGTAATGTAACCTGTAAAGTACTGAGTACACCTGTTAGCGCTATATAAATAAAATATACATACACTGTATACCTACTGCACTTACTGTACCTCCCTCTACTGTAATGTAACCTGTAAAGTGCTGAGTACACCTGTTAGCACTATATAAATAAAATATACATACACTGTATACCTACTGCGCTTACTGTACCTCCCTCTACTGTAATGTAACCTGTAAAGTGCTGAGTACACCTGTTAGCGCTATATAAATAAAATATACATACACTGTATGCCTACTGCACTTACTGTACCTCCCTCTACTGTAATGTAACCTGTAAAATGCTGAGTACACCTGTTAGAGCTATATAAATAAAATATACATACACTGTATACCTTCTGCACTTACTGTACCTCCCTCTACTGTAATGTAACCTGTAAAGTGCTGAGTACACCTGTTAGCGCTATATAAATAAAATATACATACACTGTATGCCTACTGCACTTACTGTACCTCCCTGTACTGTAATGTAACCTGTAAAGTGCTGAGTACGCCTGTTAGCGCTATATAAATAAAATATACATACACTGTATGCCTACTGCACTTACTGTACCTCCCTCTACTGTAATATAACCTGTAAAGTGCTGAGTACGCCTGTTAGCGCTATATAAATATAATATACATACACTGTATACCTACTGCACTTACTGTACCTCCCTCTACTGTAATGTAACCTGTAAAATGCTGAGTACACCTGTTAGCGATATATAAATAAAATATACATACACTGTATACCTACTGCACTTACTGTACCTCCCTCTACTGTAATGTAACCTGTAAAGTGCTGAGTACACCTGTTAGCGCTATATAAATAAAATATACATACACTGTATACCAGCTGCACTTACTGTACCTCCCTCTACAGTAATGTAACCTGTAAAGCACTGAGTACACCTGTTAGCGCTATATAAATATAATATACATACACTGTATACCTACTGCACTTACTGTACCTCCCTCTACTGTAATGTAACATGTAAAGTGCTGAGTACACCTGTTAGCGCTATATAAATATAATATACATACACTGTATACATACTGCACTTACTGTACCTCCCTCTACTGTAATGTAACCTGTAAAATGCTGAGTACACCTGTTAGCGCTATATAAATATAATATACATACACTGTATACCTACTGCACTTACTGTACCTCCCTCTACTGTAATGTAACCTGTAAAGTGCTGAGTACACCTGTTAGAGCTATATAATATACATACCCTGTATACCTACTGCACTTACTGTACCTCCCTCTTTTGTAATGTAATCTGTAAAGTGCCGAGTACACCTGTTACTGCTATATAAATAAAATATACATACACTGTATACCTACTGCACTTACTGTACCTCCCTCTTTTGTAATGTAATCTGTAAAGTGCCGAGTACACCTGTTACTGCTATATAAATAAAATATACATACACTGTATACCTACTGCACTTACTGTACCTCCCTCTACTGTAATGTAACCTGTAAAGTGCTGAGTACACCTGTTAGTTCTATATAAATAAAATATACATACACTGTATACCTACTGTACTTACTGTACCTCCCTCTATTGTAATGTAACCTGTAAAGTGCTGAGTACACCTGTTAGTTCTATATAAATAAAATATACATACACTGTATACCTACTGCACTTACTGTACCTCCCTCTACTGTAATGTAACCTGTAAAGTGCTGAGTACACCTGTTAGCGCTATATAAATAAAATATACATACACTGTATACCTACTGCACTTACTGTACCTCCCTCTACTGTAATGTAACCTGTAAAGTGCTGAGTACACCTGTTGGCTATAAATATAATATACATACTGTATGCCTGCTGCTTACTGTACCTCCCTCTGTAATGTAACCTGTAAATGCTTCAGTACACCTGTTAGCTATATAAATATAATATACATACACTGTATACCTACTGCACTTACTGTACCTCCCTCTACTGTAATGTAACCTGTGAGTGCTGGTACACCTGTTAGGTATATAATATACATACACTTCCCTGTATACCTGCACTTACTGTACCTCCCTCTTTTGTAATGTAATCTGTAAGAACAAGTACACCTGGTAGCGCTATATAAATAAAATATACATACACTGTATACCTACTGCACTTACTGTACCTCCCTCTACTGTAATGTAACCTGTAAAGTGCAGAGTACACCTGTTAGCGCTATATAAATATAATATACATACACTGTATACCTACTGCACTTACTGTACCTCCCTCTACTGTAATGTAACCTGTAAAGTGCTGAGTACACCTGTTAGCGCTATATAAATAAAATACATACACTGTATACCTACTGCACTTACTGTACCTCCTCTACTGTAATGTAACCTGTAAAGTTCTGAGTACACCTGTTTGTGCTATATAAATAAAATATACATACACTGTATACCTACTGCACTTACTGTACCTCCCTCTACTGTAATGTAACCTGTAAAGTCCTGAGTACACCTGTTAGCGCTATATAAATAAAATATACATACACTGTATACCTACTGCACTTACTGTACCTCCCTCTACTGTAATGTAACCTGTAAGGTGCTGAGTACACCTGTTAGCGCTATATAAATAAAATATACATACACTGTATACCTACTGCACTCACCGTACCTCCCTCTACTGTAATGTAACCTGTAAAGTGCTGAGTACACCTGTTAGCGCTATATAAATAAAATATACATACACTGTATACCTACTGCACTCACTGTACCTCCCTCTACTGTAATGTAACCTGTAAAGTGCTGAGTACACCTGTTAGCGCTATATAAATAAAATATACATACACTGGATACCTACTGCACTTACTGTACCTCCCTCTACTGTAATGTAACCTGTAAAGTGCTGAGTACACCTGTTAGAACTATATAAATAAAATACCACACTGTACATACCTACTTTTGCACTTGCAGCACCTCCTCTACTGTAATGTAACCTGTAAAGTGCTGAGTACACCTGTTAGAACTATATAAATAAAATATACATACACTGTATACCTACTGTACTTACTGTACCTCTACAGAAATGTTATCCTGTAAGGCCACACCTGTTAGTGCTATATAAATATAATATACACTGTATACCTACTGCACTTACTGTACCTCCCTCTACTGTAATGTAACCTGTAAAGTGCTGAGTAAACCTGTTAGCGCTATATAAATATAATATACATACACTGCATACCTACTGCACTTACTGTACCTCCCTCTACTGTAATGTAACCTGTAAAGTGCTGAGTACACCTGTTAGCGCTATATAAATATAATATACATACCCTGTATACCTACTGCACTTACTGTACCTCCCTCTACTGTAATGTAACCTGTAAAGTGCTGAGTACACCTGTTAGCGCTATATAAATAAAATATACACACACTGTATACCTACTGCACTTACTGTACCTCCCTCTACTGTAATGTAACCTGTAAAGTGCCGAGTACACCTGTTAGCGCTATATAAATATAATATACATACACTGTATACCTACTGCACTTACTGT